TAGCAGACCTTTCTTGGCAGCCATGGGTAGCTGTTTCGTCCTGGAAAACAACAACTTACTTAGCCCGCTGAAATTATTGTTTCAGATATAAGATTAAAGCCGTGCGAATATCTCGGCTGATGCAAGACAAGCCACGGACCCCATTAGAAACAACTTGTGATTGGATAGAGTATGTGATCAGACATGGTGGAGGCCGCCATCGCAGAGCTCAAGTGTTTAACATCCCTTGGTATCAGTACTACCTACTTGATGTCATAGCTTTTCTTGTTGCCATAGTTACATTGGTTGTCATGATGATAAGGTTGACATGCAGACGCATATGTCGAATGTGTTGTGAGAAGAGTAGAAACAAAGCCAAGAAAGAGTAAAGTATTCACAAACTGTATACGTGTCTAGCCTGCCAAAACATCCGTTTCTCTTCGCTCTTCGCCGCTGGGGGCGTTTCGCGAGGAGAAACGGATGTTTTCGCAGGCTAATTCGTGTCGAGAGGAATGGGAATTGGTTGGAAATTCATCTTCGACGCGTGCGCAATTGCACCATTATTATTATTATTGGGCTGCCTGTGGCAATCAAGTTCTGAGCACCGTGTATTTTGAAAAAAGACAAAATGGTGGCCTCATAACTAAAGGCCTGTTTACATGGAGGTGGGGGACCCCAGGTAGGTGAGGTAACAATGCGCTGATGGCTAAGTTTAATATTAGTGCGGAAAGAAGCTTTAGGGAAAGTTTTGGTAACGCCGAACTGGTGATTTTCTTAGCGGATTTTGCCATGGAGTATCCACAGCCTCTTCTACCAGGTGGGTTTAATGCGCCTCAAAGACGTACACAACTTATCAAATGTGTTTGTACCCTGCGAGCAGATGCCCTGCTGTCTTCCTAGATAAGTCGGGATGAGGAGAAAGGGACTTGTCTAGGAAGATCGAAGGGCCTCTGCTCGTAGCGTAGTGTATTTGTCGTCTCCCAGACTTTATCGCAATGACTCCAGCCCGTTTACTTTCTCAGAAGTTGGCTTTTTTTTAGAGTTGAATTGTCAGGGAACGCATCTAAGTTTAAAAAGAAAAAGGAAATTCTTCTTCGTACGTTCACTTCCTCTATGAGACATCGCGTTAGAAAGATTCACCAGAATTCACGTCAGTAGTCGTGCAGGGACGACAAAAAAATGTATACTCCGCGTAGCAGGCGCAAAAAAAGCGGAGAGGAGAGGGAGAAACCGAAAGAAACCAGGGGGAGGGGGAGAATTTTCTTTTCTTCCCATTCCCTTCTCTTTTTGTCCCTCCCCCGCTCCCTTTTCGACGCCTTAACTTACTTTGTCGTTCAATTCTACAGTTACTCGAACGACCATAGTCACAAAACTGAATGTTAGATAAGCCAAAAGGGAGTTATTTGACAATTATGGTGCATGAAAAGTTTTGATGCTAGAACATTGAGCGCAACACGGCATGTTATATTTTCCTCAATAAAATTTTTTGTGTACTTATTTTTTAGGTAACGTAATGGTTGGTCCGATCACTGTGAAAAAACCCAAGCCGCTCCCCCCTGATTTCGAAGAATTTATCGGCGATTCAGGAGGGCATGGCTTTATCGTGGTGTCGTTTGGGTCTTATGTAGAATCGGTTCTAAATAAAGAAAAGCTAGATATGCTGGCTACGGTGTTTGGGAAGTTAAAGCAAAGAGTGCTTTGGAGGCTAAAAGGTAGGGAAATAGTGCTTATAAAGAAATCACATTTACATTGAAACATAAAACAATCCTTTGTTATGATTTCTTAGATTATGTTCCCCCGTCTCTAAGTCCAAACATCAAAGTAGTGGAGTGGTTACCTCAGAATGATCTTCTGGGCCACAAGGACATCAGAGCGTTTGTCTCCCATGCGGGACATAACAGTGTGTGCGAGTCTGCTTATCATGGCGTCCCAGTGGTAGCAGTTCCGCTGTTTGCAGATCAGTTCTCTAATGCCAAGAAAGTGGAACAATTTGGTCTAGGGATCGCTGTCGATCATGAAACAGTGGATGCCCATCAGTTATTCAAGACAATTGAACGCGTTGCTACAGAACCGAGGTAAACAAATGTACTTTAAATGTTTTACAATCTTATTAAAAGAACTACTTTTCAGTTAGCTGCGTGGTGCAATTACCCCAATCACATCATAGATCTTAACAAATCGAATCAGTAGTCAAATTGAACTAAAAACAGGCATCCCTGAGACAAAATCGGGAAAACTATAGCAAGACTACGCTCGACTGATTTTGGACTTTCTCCCAATTAGCCCGCGTCACCCTAAACCTTCTGAATACAAATGGTTTAAACGCATGCTATCTTCCGATAGGAGTCATAACTGTTTACAGACATTGTTTTTGTAACGAGCGAAACAAAAGAATCTTTTGTTTCAAGAACCAATGCGCTTGTGTTTGGCACATTAATATCTATAGGTAACGTCAGCGTGAGTATCGCTATATGGTTGAGAAAGTGGTGCGAACTATTTTTCGTTCACTCACATAATAGAGGTTTGTTAAGGCGATGAGAAAAGCGCGGAAAAACTGCTACTTCCAGAAAGAGCAATGTTGGTGTTGTATGCAAAGCAATGTCAACGACGCAGACATAGGATAGCAGACCTTACGTGTCTAGCCTGCGAAAACATCCGTTTCTCTTCGCTCTTCGCCGCTGGGGGCGTTTCGCGAGGAGAAACGGATGTTTTCGCAGGCTAATTCGTGTCGAGAGGAATGGGAATTGGTTGGAAATTCAACTTCGACGCGTGCGCAATTGCACCATTATTATTATTGGGCTGCCTGTGGCAATCAAGTTCTGAGCACCGTGTATTTTGAAAAAAGACAAAATGGTGGCCTCATAACTAAAGGCCTGTTTACATGGAGGTGGGGGACCCCAGGTAGGTGAGGTAACCCGCTTTGGTGGGTAACCCGCCTGTCCACATAACCTCTCATTTTAATTTGATCACGTTTACATTATAGGTGGGGTGACCCGCCGCATGTTACCTCACCTATCTGGGGTCCCCCACCTCCATGTAAACAGGCCCTAAGAAGGCGTTGCTTGGCCCGTCTCCTGCGATGGGGACTATCGTTTGACTTTTGAGGGTATGGGGGTTGTCACTTCAGATATGAACAACTAGACTGGAACGCAAGGAAAATTATGACGTAAATTTAAGGCCCTTGCAAACGGACACAACATTGTTGGATGTTAGATGCTGCGTCCGTTTACACACCCTGTTGCATGTTGTTGGGAGTTGTTGCGCGGAGTTTGAAACTGGTCAAACTTTTGAGCCAACGACTCCCAGCATTTCTTTTGTTCCGTGATCACCGAAGCGTAGCGCAACAATTGTTGGATCCGTTTGCACAGCTCTTCCAGCATTGTTGGCCGGGGCCACGTTAGCCTGTGTAGCTGGCGGTATTGTGTGGGTGCGAGATTAAAGTTTTGGCGGAGGAGCCGTGTTCCAAAAAAAGGGAGTAGGGACGAGGCGGTTGAAATACCGTATTTCTCGAGGCTTCGCCGCTCGTGACGGCTCCGCCGTCAAATCTTACTCGACTACTACAGAATACCGCCAGCTACGCAGGCTAGCCACGTACACT